TCATAGGAAAATTACTTCAGCTGATAGGTAAATGTCCTTGGAGTCTAACACTGGTTCAATTGAGTCAAGAATCAAAAGGGTGCTTTGTATGTCAGCAAGATATATGCATTGGATAAAGAAAAATTGAACCGTATTACTTTGATTAGCTTCCTCCCATTCGTGGGATTCCTGTAGTTCTCTTTGAGTGTTCTCAGCCTGCTCACGCCATTCCTGCCTTTCTCTTTGAGTATTCTCAAGCTGCTCACGCAAATCCTGTATCAGGTTTTGAGTAGCTTCCTCACGCTTATGATATGGAAAGAGTAGAGTTTTTGTTGTTGTTACTTTTGGTGTACTATGTGAAGTTATTTCTTTTTCTTTTGTTTTTCTTTTCCTCTATGATTTATCCCTTGTTGTCACAGTATTTGATTTTGGTACTCTGTGTATTGTATATGTGTTCATCTTAATTAGGGAAGGAAAAGGGAACAACAAAATGGTGAGACCAAGGACAAAGGGCAAACCAATGCAACAGCGATGCTCACAAGGCCTGTTGGAAATGAATTTTACAACTTGGGATGGAGGAGCATTGGAGGAGATGGAAAGTGGGAGAAAAATGAGGGAGGGGGGTAACGATGTTCAACAAGAAATGTATTCACTACCTTATGTATGCAACTGTAACCCCTCTGTACATCACCTTGGCAATGAAATTAAATTTTTTAAAAAGAAAAACAAATAAATAAAAGTATATTTTAAATATATTTTAAATATGGCAGCTTCAATTTCAGAAAACATGTTTTCTATTCATTCCTTACATCTGTCATTTATTAATCATTTTTAACCCAAGTGCCTTGATATTTGCCTTGATCAAGTGCCTTGATATTTGCTAGAACTTTAGTGAGTCCAATAGAATATATAGACATGAGAATGAGGCATGAACATTTCTAGGATTGGATTCCATACATGCAGAAAACATAAAATGAAATAGTAAGCCAAGAAGTCAGAGACACTGGAACAGGAACAGTCAAGAAACTTCTCATAATGGTCTTAAGGCTTCATGCAGACATGAAGACACATCAAAAATATTTTCAAGCTATAAAGTGGTGCAATTCTATTTGATGTTTAGAATGATAATGTGAGCTACAACATTGGTCATGGATTGAAGGGACAAAATGAGGAGCCTGAACTGTGGTGCTGTCAATGCAGAATCAGAGTGCAGTGGATACTGTTTCATCCAGGTCAAATCTGTTCCCCCAGGTCAGTGCATTCATGCTCTAAGTGTCCAGAGTCTGGACTACTCACAGCGCACAGTCCTGTCCTCCGGACACTATGCTAGAGAAAATGAGAAGGATTTTGTCCAGGCTCAATGAATGACTAGGATGGGAGGGAAAGGGGTTAGTCCCCTTGGCTGATTCAGCTCTGTAGTACAATACATACTGTAGAGCAAACAAGGCACTGGGATGAAACAAAATGCATCTGAAGCCATATCCTCTCTTCCCCTTCCCACAGTCAATGTCTTTCAACAACTCACTTGCATTAAAATGCCCATCTCAGGTGTTACATCTAGGCAAAGACAAAATGAAAAAAAAGAGAGAAATACAGCAGTTCAAGAAATGTTTGCTAGTTGTCAACAAAAGAACTTTATACCAAAGATCTTTTATTTATTGATAAATAGTAAAGAAGATCCATGAATACTAAAAAAATTCTGGATTAAACCAGAATTTTGCAGATAAATGAGGCACTAGTAAAGATACATCAGAGAGACAATTCTTCCTGGTCAAGAAAGGTTTAATCCAATAACTTGAAGGCTTGAATGTAACAAAAAGCCTAGATAAATTATAACTCTTGGAAGTGGGGGTGTATGGCTCAAGTGGTAGAGCACCAGCCTTGAGTAATAAAGTTAAGGAACATGCCTAGGCCAATTTCAGCAGAAAAAATAAATAAATATAAGTAAATAAATTCCTGAAAGAGGTAATTTTCTGCCTATATGGAACATTAGTTTTTGTCCTGCCGCAAGTGTGCACTGTAATGTCAGCTCTTTTTTCAACACTTGCACTGAAACAAATGGTTCTTATTTCAGGCCTTAATAACCAGTTATAATCACCATCTGAACAAAGTTTATTTATTCAATTATTTATTTATTTATTTATGTAGTCAGTTGTGGGGCCTGAACTCTGGGCCTGGGTGCTGTCCCTCAGCTGTTCAGCTCAAGCCTAGCACTCTACCACTTGGGCCACAGAAACACTTCTTGGTTTTTTCTGCTTATGTGGTGCTGAGGAATCGAACCCAGGGCCTCATGCATGAAGGCAAGCACTCTACCACTAAGTCACCTTCCCAGCCCCATGAACAAAGCTTATTAGTAGACACAAACCCAACCTCTAGACTAAACTACACCATGATTATGCTCATGATGTAGCTAATGATGCTAATGATCCTCTCTGAGCATCCATTTTCTCATCTTCCAATGAAACTCATACTACATGTCACTGTTCTAAAGATTAAGTAAACTCACAGTAAAAATAGCCCAGAATTCTGGGTGGTTTCTATATTTCCATATTAACTGAAGACTCTATACATATCCCTAAGTACATGTATACGTGTGAATTCTCAGAGAAATAATATATAATTACCAGTAAAACGTAATTCTATCAGTCAAAAGTATATGCTCAAGATTACTGAATAATGCCAAATTCTTTCCAAAGTAATTGTACTTATACACACTTTCAAAAGTACAATTACCTTGGAGAGTATTATTTTCAATTTTTCTAATTCTGCAAATTAAGTGGATACAGAATGTTATCTCATTATGGGTTTGGTTTGCAGTATCCATAGCAAAAAGGGGCAGGACCTCTACACATTTTAAAGAGCTGTTAAGAAGATCAAACAGAATGAAATGATATATTATGTATCCAAGTTTACTGTGCTAGTTGATTTAACAAAAGCAAAAATAGAATAAAATGGAACTTCATCAAACTAAGAAACTTCAATTCAGGAGAAGGAAAAGTGAACAGAATTGAGACTACCCATATAATGGGAGAAAATAGCACACACACACACATATGTGTGTGTGTATATATATATATATATGTGTGTGTGTGTGTGTGTGTGTGTGTGTGTGTGTGTGTGTATGTATATATATATATATATATATATATACACATGATAAAAGGATAATATCCAAAATATATTTTTAAAGCTCAAACAACAGCAAAAATAAATAAATCAATATTTACACCAATATTAAAATGAAGAAAACATTTCTTAAGGAACATGTAGAAACGGTCACCAATCATCTGGAAAAATTCTTGACATCTCTAATAATCAGGGAAATAAGAGTCAAGGTCACCATGATATATTACTTCATACCAGTTATAACGTTTGTGATCGCAAACACAAAAGATAAGGAGTGTTGGCGAGGACACAGTGGGGACCAGATCCTCATAGGAACACAAATTAGTATAACCATTATGAAAAATGGGAAAGAGATTCCTGGAAAATTTTTAAATGAAACTGTCATCTGATCCAGAAATCTTATTCCAGGGTAGATATCCAAAGAATATGAAAGCAGCATCCCAAAGTCATATTTAACTCCTTATTATCCTTAACTCCTTATTATGAAGCACTGGCTATAATAGCCAAAATACAGACTCAACCTAAGAGTTCATTAGTGAAGGAATGGACAAAGAAAATGTGATCTGTACACATGTATAAATGTCCTAAGTGTCTTGGTGTTAGGTCATATGCCTTGTTGACTTACGTATGATTTCAATTTGGAATAGTTACCTTTGGATATTTATTCTGATTTTGTTCCCAGTGGATGCAAAATTTTGTATTTTCCCATACCTTTACTTTCTTGGCACTTACCTATGCTTATACTTGTGCCAAAACTCCTAGAGATTCCAACCTTTCTGATAAAGGATCAGAGACTAAATTTTTCACATTTGGACAAATGTTACACTTATCCTGAAGTTCAATTAAACATTTAGCAACAGTTGAATTCGAATCTCTTCTACACAAAATGGCTCATCCTCCTGTCTGTGCATCTTCAGTAAGAATGTTTAACAGATACAAGTGTATACTTCATAATAAAATTACCACAAATTATGTTCTTACTCTTATTACATGTTTTATGCTTTAAAAATTACAGCTACCTGCTACCATAAAACTTTCACACATAGCAAAATATATAGAATACAGGGTCATATCTTAGTTTATAGCTTAGTTCTACCATTAACATGAGTATTGATCAAATAGTACCATAGTGAGCCTAGAAAATGTGTTGTTAGAAGTAAGTCAGATGCCAGTGGTGTACTTTTGTAATCCTAGCTACTCAGGAGGCTGAGATCCTGCCAGCCCAGGCAGGAAAAGTCCATGAGATTCTTATCTCCAATTAACCACCTGAAAACCAGAAGCGGCGCTGTGCCTCAAGTGGTAGACTTCTAGCCTTGCTTGGTCCTAGGTTCGATTCCTCAGCACCACATAAGCAGAAAAAGCCAGACGTGGCGTTGTGGCTCAAGTGATAGAGGGCTAGTCTTGAGCTGAATTGCTCAGGGACAGCACTCAGGTCTAGAGTTCAAGTCTCACAACTGACCAAAAAAAGATGACTTTAATATCAACCCACTATTCTAGACTCATATATTTCTTAGTTTTAGAGACATTCTAGACTTCTAGTTAATTTATAATTGTTTCTTGATTAATATGTAATAAGTAGCAGCAAAAGTATGAGATAAGAAACAATAAGTCTGTACTGTAATTCAACTTTATGCCTAAGTAGCTATCTTCAATTAATAAGAATAAGGAACCGGATAGCTCCTTATTAGAACTGATGTATTTACAAAAGAATGTGGGGTATGTCTACAAGGGTAGAGCACCTGCCTAGCCAGCACTTAAGACCTGAATTCAAATCCCAGGACTACTACCAAACAAATGAGCCTAGTAGAGTTGAAGTATTCATACGTGTGGGTGTGTGGGTGTATAACATGAAACTTGGTTTACATTACATTTAATACAGTGTTTAATGATCCTGGTTAATTACTATCTGAAGCCACCTTTTTTCTCCAAAGCTTCCTTATTGCATTTTTTACCTCAGTATTTCTAAAGGAATAGATTAAAGGGTTTAACATAGGAGCCACCATAGTATAAAACACAGCAACTGCTTTATCCATGGTCAAAGTGGTCACTGGGCGCAGATACACAAATATGCAGGGTACAAAAAATAAGACAACTACTATCATGTGAGATACACAAGTGGAGAGGGCTTTGCGCCTCCCCTCCAAGCTGTAGTTCTTCAGAGAGCGCAAGATGACCACATAGGATCCCATCAAGAGGAGAAAGTTAAAGAGGCAAATGAACCCACTGTTGGCAGCAACGAAGAGACCGAGGGTGCGGGTGTCCATACAGACGAGTTTCAACAAGGGGTACAAGTCACACATAAAATGGTCTATGACGTTGGGACCACAGAAGGGCAGCCAGACTGTGAAGAGGATCTGAATCGTTGCGTGGAGAAATCCTCCCGTCCAGGACACTGCCACCAGTAGCATGCATAGCTTGTGGTTCATGATGGTCGCATAGTGCAGGGGTTTACAGATGGCTACATAACGGTCATAGGCCATCACCGTCAGCAGGATGATCTCAGTAGCTCCAAAAATGTGCTCTGCATAGACCTGAGCCATACACCCAGTAAAGGAGATGACTTTCTTCTCTTGAAGAGAGTCTACAATCAACTTAGGAGCTGATGAAGAGGTGTAAATCGTGTCTATCAGAGAAAGGTGACTCAGGAAGAAATACATCGGGGAACTCAGTGCCTGGCTGTGGATAATGGTCACCACGATGAGGAGGTTGCCTGATAGTGTCATTATGTACAGAATCAAAAAGATCACAAACACTACTTTCTGCATTTGGGAGTTCTGTGTAAGACCTATTAAAATGAATTCAGTCAGATTCCTTTGGCTCTCCATCTGTGTAGTAGGGTTGATTTCAAAGGAAAGAAGAAAAGGAAGAGAAGCATCATAAAATAATCCAATAGACTGAATAATCAGACATAATCTACTTATTACAAAATGTATTCTCATTTTCTTTTTTTCTTGTTTTTCTTTTCTTTTGTTGTTGTTGCTGGTCCTGGGGCTTGAACTCATGGCCTAGGCACTGTCCCTGAGCCTCTTTGTGCTCAAAGTTAGTGCTCTACCAGTTGAGCCACCACACACCACTTCTAGCTTTTTCTGAGTAGTTTATTAAAGATAAGAGTATCATAGACTTTCCTGCTAATGCTGGCTTCAAACTGTGATCCTCAGATCCAGCCTCTTGAGTAGCTAGGATTGCAGGTGTGAATCACTGGAGCCTGGGTTATTCTTATTTTCATGATGAAAATGAACAATAAACTTGAAGGTAGCATTCTAAACCAAATTTTTGCCATTGCTAGCTCTCACATTAGCTGAGAATGGTGGGACATACCTGTCATTCCAGTTCCAACTACATAGACTGACAGACAGAGACAGATTGACTAGTGTGTGGCATAAGGGCTAAAGAGCTCCCTTCTCATATGTGTGAGGGCCTGGATTCTATCCTAAAGTACCATTAGAATAATAATAATAACAATAACAGTAATAAGCACCAAGAAATGGCTACTTGCAAGAGGAGGAGGAGGGCCAAGGGGAGGAGGGTAGACAAATGAAGGGGAGAAGGGAGAAAGAATGTAGTCAAGAAATTGTTATAGGTACCAAAAACTTAAGAAAAATAAGGGACATGTGAGTCAAAGGGAGCGAAGATGTTGAAGGCAATGACACAGATCAAGATGCATTGTATTGATAAACTGCTTTGTTAAATAGCAAAAATAATTCAATAGACATCCTACAAAAGTAAGAAAAGTGAGAGAAGCTGTAGGTTGAGATGGAGGGGAAGAATGCTGAAAGGGGTGACATTGTCAAGATGCGCTGTGTTCATAAACTGCTTGGCTGAACAGCAACTCCTTTGTATAACAATTTAAGATAATAATAGTTTTGTCTTTCATTGTCAAGGTGATGTACAAAGGGCTGGCAGTTACATAAGTAAGAGAATAAGTATATTTCTTGTTAAACTTATTACCCTTTCACTCATTTTTTCCTGCTTTCCCTCCCCTCCACCCCTCCAAAGTTGTACAGATCATTTCCAACATATTGTCTTATGTATATGACCATTGAATTGGTTTCCCCCTTGTCCTTTGTCTCACCATTCAATAAAGATATTTTAATCTCATTATTTCCTAGACCTCAGATTCATTTTTATTTTTTTAAAGTTTTTTTTTCAAAGTTTGGTAATTTATACCTGTAATCCTAGCTACTCTGTAGGCTGAGATCAGATGATCTGGTTCAAAGCCAGCCCAGGCAGAAAAAGCTGTAAGACTCTTACATCCAATTAACCAAAAGAAAACTGAAAATAGAAATAGAGCTGAAGTGATGGAGGTCCAGAATGAGTGAAAAAAAAAAAAAAAAACTAGTGGAAGGCCCTGAGTTCAAGCCCTACTATCAGAAATGAATAAATAAACAACAAATAAATAAATAAGATCTTTATGTGTCCTTAAAACACAAAGGTCTAAGATATGTTTTAAAAATACAAAAAGTGCAATGCATTGTTTCCTTCATGGACGGGATATACATAATAATTTACACAGAGAGAACACCTATTCCACATGAGCCTATGAACACTTTGTTGAGAAGCTTACCTTAGGACTCCAAGCCTGGGATCATGACCTCCCTTCTGGAGAGTCCAATGTGTCAGAGAATCCTTCCAGGGACAAGTGCCCTGAGACTAAAAAGGAAGGCACTCCTAATTGTCAACTCTCCTCTAGAGGTGAAAACCCTCGGGAAAAGCAACAATGGGCTAATAGGTTTTTCTGTCTTCAGCCTGTGCCAAAGATTACATTTTATGATTGAAAGTAGCCTAGAAAACCCCAAAGTGACTCATTGGTTTACATTATTTTATCATTTGAATCTTTTTTTGATGCAGGGTTCTTTGTTTATTGTTTGGCTAGATGATGGTAAGGCAGAAAAGGATTCTCCAGAGAAACAAAACCACCCAAACATAAAATAAGAAATTATTTCATGTGATCACAGAGATTGAGCAATCCTGGCTGGCAATGCAGGGAAGCTGGTAATAAGTTCCAGTCCCAAAGATCTGGTAATCTCCACATCCAAGAAGATCCTGGAATTTCTATCTGAGTTTCAGGGCCACAAAGGACCAATGCCCCAGCTCAGTTTTTTTTTTTTTTTTTTTTTTTTTTTTTTTGGGTTTTGGGTTTTGGTTGGGGATTTTTAATCTTTTTTTTTATTTTTTTATATTTTTATATATTTTCATTTTAATCTTTAAAAAATCTTGAAGTAATCTGAATATATTCTCTCTTCCTATAATTTTTATCTTTTTTCCCACAAATTAGACAGACACAAGCACAAACAAAACCATTTATTCATGTGTCAAAATTAATGTCTCTGATGTTATTGGGAGTTTTAAGCACAAAATCTATTTCCTTTTCTGTCCTGGTCCAATGATCAATAGTGTATTTATTAACACTCAAATCCTTTAATGCCCATAGTTTTGCAGAAAAACAAAAAATAATTTGATCTCCATAAAGGGACCCTCTAAATCTACAATTTAGAGATCCAAACAGGCTAACTTCCTTCTAGATAAACACCATTACTTATTTAAATTCCAGGTAGTCAAGCAATTTTAAATGAAATTTTTACTGAATGTCTGCTTTTCCATGGTATAAGAAATATGAGTGGGCTGGGAAGGTGGCTCAGTGGTAGAGTGCTTGCCTTGCATGCCTGAGGCCCTGGGTTCGATTCCTCAGCACCATATAAGAAAAAAGGAAAAACCCGAAAGTGGCACTGTGGCTCAAGTGGTAGAGCACTAGCCTTGAGCTGAAGAGCTGAGGGACAGCGCCCAGGCCCAGAGTACAGGCCCCACGACCGGACCCAAAAAAAAAGAAAAAGAAAAAGAAAGAAATATGAGTTACACATAGAGGTGTATTTATCCTCCTCACACTTCTTGTGTAATGTTTTTTTAATTGTTTTTGCTATTCAACAAAGCAGTTTATCAATGCAATGCATCTTGATCTGTGTCACTGCCTTCAACATTTTTGCTCCCTTTGACTCACATGTCCCTTATTTTTCTTAAGTTTTTGGTACCTACAACAATTTCTTGACTGCATTCTGTCCCCCTTCTCCCCTTCATTTGTCTACCCTTCTCCCCTTGGCCCTCCTCCTCCTCTTGCAAGTAGCCATTTCTTGGTGCTTCTTCTTATTATTATTATTTTACTTTGGGATAGAATTCAGGGCCTCACACATATGAGAAGTGAGCTCTTTAGCTCTTATGCCACACCCTAGTCAATCTGTCTCTGTCAGTCTATGTAGTTGGAACTGGAATGACAGTTACGTGCCACCATCCTCAGCTAATGTAGTTGGAACACACACACACACACACACACACACACACACACACACACACACACACACACACACACACACATACACACACACACAGGAAAAAATTCAAATTCTGTTTCTTGTTTATTTTTCTAATTGTATTCTTATCTCTTCCTATCAGTAAGAGGTATTTTCCCTCTCTTTCATCCCTAGGAATTGCCAAAGTCAGAACATTGTTTAAAGAAAATGAATTATTGTGCATAAGCACATTTAAGTAACTCACTCTTGGTAAGCAATTCAGTGACTCATCCAGTGACTCTAATCTGCATTTAAATGCTAGAAACTAGCTCTTACAATTCTGTAGATTGCAAATCTTTTCCATATAGATTGTAGATATAGCCATATGTAGAATTTAGGAGAACAGATATTTCTTTTTCTTTTATTAGCACATATTAATTGCAAACATCTGAAGAATATCCTAAAATATTTGCATATGGTCAGAAACTAATACTTCATTGATTTTAATTGTGAGGCCCTTATAGGAAAAATTGGAAATACGATAAATAAGGTTAAAAATCAGCCATTGCAGGTAGCTTACCGTGATTGCTTCTGCTGTTGAGGTGAACATCCAGTATATTCAGAAACACAAAGGAATTATTACACATCGCCATTCAAAAGGCACTTTATGTAATGTATGCTTCAGAAATCTCCATTGGCTATGCAACATTACAAGAAGTAAACAATGCCAAGATAATGCAGATTTCTTCAAGTGGATTCGCCAAGTATTTTCAAACTCACCAGCCCCTTTGTAACTCACATCAAAATTAAAGAGCCTTCGTGTACTAAAGAGAATTTTCTGACTGCCAATTCTGCCCTTTCATGAATAAATAATTTCTTCTAGCATCATAGTGTGTACAAGAGGATACTGAGGACTACAGATATATACAGAGAGAGAGAGAGAGAGAGAATGTCCTGCAAGCTAAGGCTTTGCCCTCCCAGGAATTAATTATCTAGTCTTAAAAAAAATACTTTATCTTAGAAACAGATACTTGGGAATATTTATCTATAGAAAAACACCTGTTCACCTGATTTGTTCTTTTCCCTGAGTGAAATGGGCTCATTAAAAGCCCATTTTTTATTAGTAGAAATATCGGTAACACTGTGAAAAAAATCAGTTCATTAAAAGCTTATGTTTTACCATTAGCCTATATTTTACGATTAGAAATATCAGTAATACTGTGGGGGAAAAAACACAAACCTTGAGGATTGTGAACTGGAGCATGAAGGACACTAAATGCTGTGATAACAACCTGAAGTTTCACTGCAAATGTGTCCCTGAGGAAACTCCTCAGCCTGGGGTTTTCAAGGAGGCTGAGATACTGAATCACACAGCTGTACCCAGCATAGCTGGACATAGCCTATCCACATAAATGAGCCTTGGTAAACAATATGGTAGCTAGGGATGGAAGAGGTCGATAAAGGCTGAAATTCTAATGGCAACTTTCCCACTGTAGAAACCAAATATCTATTCTAGTTTCTATGCTTTCCCATTATATTCCACATCACTTATGTTT